AATCTTCTAAAAATTTTAACAAAAAAATATATATATAAATTTTGGGGCGCCTAATCGATTATAGGGTGTTTATCGAAACGGTACCAGGATTTGGTCGTCCAAAGATCTTTAATGAATCAGAAATTGATATTATTAAAAGTAAAGTAAAAAAATTAAAAATAGGTTCAAGAAATTCGGCTAAAGAGCTTAATGTAGTATTGGATAAAACAGCTACACCAAGAAAATATAGAAATGTTTTAAATAATAATGATTTAGCTGCTTTAGACCATTAAAAAAACCTCTTTTAAACATAAAAAACATTTCTTCAAGATTAATGTTTGCAAAGGAACATCTATGGGATGCTATAGATTATTGGAAGAGAATTTTGTGGTCAGATGAAACCAAAATTAACTTGTTTGGTTCAGATGGAATGATTTATATTTTAATACCAAGAGGTATGATCTATGATGAAAAATTTTTAAATTCTACTATTAAATATAGAGGAGAGAATTTAATGTTATGGGTTGCTTCTCATACAACGGTATTGAGAAAATAGAAGTTGTTAAAGGTAATATGACAGCCATGTCATATGCTTAAATTTTAAACAGAAATTTACTTTCATCTGTTAAAAAATTGAACATGGGTGATGATTTTATCTTTCAACAAGATAATGACCCAAAACATAAAGCTTATTTAACCAATGATTTCTTTGAAAAAAAGAGATAGAACCTCTAGAATGGCCTACCCAAAATCCGGATATGAATCCAATAGAAAATTTGTGGTATTTTCTAAAGATTAAGGTCAATGAAAGAGGACTAAAGAATATGAAAGATTTAGAAAAGTTGTTGAAGAAGAATGGTATAAAATACCAAAAGTACTCTGTGAAAGACTTTTTTGTTCACTTCCAAAAAAAGTTGAAGAATTTTTTAAATCTAAAGGAAGAAATACAATGTATTAAAATAAACTGTCTCATTTATTTTTTCCACTTTAAAATTTTTTTTCACAACATGTATTTTTTTTAATCATAATTTTGTATAAAATCTTTTTAAATTAGATACTGTATTATAAATAAAAGATTATTTAATATAAAATTTTATTAAAATATTTTTTTAAACAAAACTTTAAATTAGTCTCATTTTTATTTTCAACCACTGTATTTTTGATAAATATTAAAAGATATTTATTTTAAATGAAATTAAAGATGAAAAAGGTTTTTATATCTTTAAGCATATTTTCTTTATTCTTTAATAAAAATATTTTAAAAAGATAGTTTTATACAAAAAAATATCAAAACTAATTACAGTATGGGATATATAAAAATATAAATATTAAATGATTGCTTTGAAACCCTCTAAAAATATGATAAAAAATTTATTCGATAATAATTTAATATATTATTTATATTTTTTAAAGTTTATATTTATAATAGAATAACAAAAAAATATTTAATAAAAATTTAATAAATAAAAAAGGACAATAAAAAATGGAAATGAAAATTTAATATTTTTAATGACCTCTTTTGGCTTTTATAACACCTTTTATTCTCTTAGACATACCATTGACAAGATTTGTATATATATTAGTATCTATATATTACCATGCTTCTTGTATAATTTCTTTCATTTCATTAATACCATTAAATTCAATACCCTTTAATCTTCTTTTTATTATAACCCATAAATTTTCAATTGGGTTTAAATCAGGTGATTGAGATGCCCATTCTATTAATTTGATATTGTTAAATTCAAAACATTCTCTTACTAACTTACTTCTATGTTTAGGATCGCCATCCTGCAAAAGTTTAAAATTTACAAAACCAAACTTTGACATTGACGAAGGTAAATTATTTGCTAAAATTTCTACATAGTATAGTGCATTCATGTTTCTATCTAAAAAAATGCAAATCACCAACACCTTTAGAAGACATACATTCCAAACCATTATTTTCTTTTTACTATATTTAATGGTTTCATTAACAGGTTTTTCTTCATTTTCACCTACCCATATTTTATATTTTCCTGAGTCATTATACATTGAAAAAAATGACTCATCAGTAAATATAACGTCATTCCAATATTCTTTACCTACAAAAAGAAATTTTTTGGTCAAATTTAATCTTGTAATTTTATGTCTTTTAGTCTATTTTGGTTTTGAAACTGGATAATAATACTTAAACCTAATTCATTCAAAACTCTTCTCATTGTTCTATCTGATATTACTTTCTCTGTTAAAGCTCTAAACACCTTATTTAATTTAGGTGCTGAAAATTTTTTATTTTTATTTTTTATCTTTTTAATTATTTTATAATCACTTCTGTTAATCTTTGAAAATTTACCTGTACAAATTTTACGATTTGTAGTATTATAATTAATATATTTTGAAACGATAAATTGAGAAGACGATAATGGGATATTAAGTTTTTCTGATATTTGTTTATACGTAAAATTTGAATTTTTAATGCAATTACTCGCCCTTTTAAAAAATTTGAATAATGCTTACCCATTTTAAGGGTGTGTTTTTTATTCAAAATTTATATTAAAAATTAAGAGGATGAAAATTTTCATGTACTTATTTTATTGTATTTTTCATTTTTAAAAACATTTTCTTAAAATTTTAAACAATACTATTTAAAAAGAGCAATTTTTTATTTTTCAATGCATAAAACTTTTACCATGCTTTTTACATATTATTTTTTAAAAATAAGATTTAATACGTATCTTTAAAAATAAGTAGTTTTTAAAAATCTATTTTACAGTTTTATATCTCCCATACTGTATAAAAAAATTAAAAATTTACTTTATTTATTAATTTCATTATTCTCATCCTCATCTTCAGATTCTTTAAAAATTGAATTATTAAACATAGTTAATGATTTCATAAAAATAATAAAAGGGTCAGCCTCCTTGTATTTATAACAGAAACAGAAGAAAGAGAGATGACTTTGTAATAATTTT